TGTCGGGCTATCGACAGAGAAATAAAAAAGACATCTGGAGAGACGACGACATCTGTCTATTATTAGATGTATGGCAAGAAAAAGTATTTATTTCTAACCAAAACTTCCGTTTTGTTTGTTGGTGTTTGTGACTTACCGCGTAGTTACGTCAGTTTTATGATCGGGTGTAATAGCCGGGTTCTTCTCGAGCGGACTGCCTGTGCGAACAGCACGACGTTCGACTAGCGACAGTCACAATCCAGATTGTAGGTAAATCGAGATCGAAGTGAGTCGTGGATTGTGTGCGAACGTAGTATTACCACTCAAGAGAAAGTAATGCTCTTGGACATGCTCACATGTTGAAACAATTTATAAGTCGTATTCTAGTGCATTGTAAATATCTGAATCACTGACAAATCTTCAAGATGTATTTCTGAATGTAACAAAATGTCAATGGTAGTCATATTGTGTAAACCAGTCTTAAAATTCAATACACATTTTGGTCCAGCAAACCAATCAGATTAAGGGCTGTTTCACACTATGACCGACTGGACTGACCCGACTGATTTTATAATCAAACCGACTAGTAGTAAAAGCATTCAAACTAAGTAGATTATATGTCAGTGGCTGATTCATAACGACCAATCAGAATGTGTGCTATAGATCAATACACTAGCCAATCATGGTAAGTTTTTTAAATTAAACAGAAAACATGGCCATCATGGAAAGTGATTATGCATTTAAATATATTGCGTCATTATTAGATTATTCAATCACGTACCTTCAATGTTTAGTTTCTTGGAAATCTCCGTCCAAGAATTATTTTTATGTTGTCTTTATAATCGGCTTGCTGAATATCATAAAGCCACGGATATGTTCTGACTTTGTTTATTAAAGCTTCTGAGAAATATATACTTTCCACCATTTTCTAACTTTGACGTAGATTGGATAAATCTAAACTCTGATTGGTTATAGCTTCGAAGCTCTCATTGGCTGTAGCTCACCGACTGCTCCAACCNTATTTATAATCTCTTAGCCTTATTTTATCTGATTTTTTTTCATTTAAATAAAAAAAAATCAGATAAAATAATAAATATTAAGAGTCAAATATATTTAAAGTAATCCATCAAATATATAATCAAGCATTTGCTGTCAATATTCTGATATTTCCTGGTAAGGAGCTCTGCTGCATCATCACACACACATCCTTCAGATTGGAAGTTGGTTCACAATCTGAGAGATGCATGTGATGATGCAGTAAAGATTCTCTCCAGGAAACATCAGAATATTGATAGTAAAAGATGAATAGGATGCCAAAGAATTCATAATCAAGCATCATTTTCTGTTCAGATTATCTAATATAATGTTTTATAACAAGATAATGAGTTTAAAAATAAAAATATTTTTATGTATTCCAATATTCTATTAGGGATATAAAATACATATATAAAGAAAAAATTGAAAAGGGTTTATAAAGTTTAAAAAAATTTGACATATTCTTAATGATATAATTCATCACTCACAGAATGTGTTCTATCTAATACAGCAAATTTATTTCTTGCAATCCATACTGCTGTGACTCCAGATGATCGCTTACATTCTGCAGTTTCAGGGCTCTGAGAATCAAGATCCTTTGGAATCATATATAAATCATAATGGCTATTGTCAATGTTGGTAGTACGAGTACAGAGCAATACAGCGCCTTCTGCTGGGCAATACGATAAGCTGAAATAATTTATATTTTATTCATATAAAAGTCTTTTCAAACAAACACTCAAAAATAATCATTTACCTGAAAATAGAATTTCGATTTCCACCTCGAAGTTGTAACACGGCAACATCTTTGGAAGAGTTGAAGTCGAGCCTGCGCAAGTAACGATCCTTAACATAATAAAGTAAATTTCCATGAACAGCAAATGCAGGCCTTTCTCTTTCCAGTTTAAAAATAATCATTCCACTATCATGACCAGCAGCAAACAGATTTAATGAAGGATGAGCTGTCATAATCCAAAATCGATCGTGTTCGCGTCTAAACGTGTGAAGGCAAGTACGCTTTGACATATCCCATACTCGAATGCTCTTATCTTCAGAATTACTGAGAATAACTTCTTGCCTGTAAATGTAAAGTGAAAATTATAAAATAAATACTAAGAAAAAAACCTGTTGTTATTTAAAGTTATAATTTTCAAAACTTTAAATATTGACTTTCATTAATGGAGTAAATGTTTCAGAAAAATCATTTTAATTATTACATTTATCTGATAACTTCATTATTTGATTTTCAGAAAACACATTCGGTTTTTCTCTTTATTTACTTTATAAATATGTAAATTCTTATTCTTTGAGACAATGTGGTATGTAACAAGACACAGCCCTTGTATACATATTAATGTTTTAATAATATACATTCCAAGATCATTGCTTATGCCAAAGATATTACACTAATTAATAATGACCCTATATCATTACATGAAACAAACAAACAAAATTAAATAGCCCAAAGACCACAAAGAAACTGAAATTAGTAATTAATGCATGTAAAATGCTGGTTATGTGCTTTTCTTTTGCTTGAAACTCTTGATAATCCAGATTTTTTTTAATTGAAAACTATTGCCTTTCTTATATTCAATCAATCTTTGATTTGGAGGTAAACTAACTTTTCATTTACATATTAAAAAAATTATTAAGGGTTTGATAATTTGTTGTGGCATACTTTGAAGAAATTGGCAAAGCCTGTTTTACAAATTTATTTTTTTTTACTAATTTTCAGTCCTTGATTGATTATTGTCTTCTGGTTTGGTCTTGTATTGCTTAGTACTTAATAAACAGGGTAAATAATGAACTTTCTAAAATAACTGATTAAATTCACAAAAAACTTCTAATTGTAAATATTTAAACAAGATAATTAGTAGTGATAGAATGATTAATTGGAATCAGAATAAAAAAAATTGGACATTTTTCAGGTTTTGAAATCGAGCATATCTCAACTAATTCTTATAATAATTCTTCCACATTTAATAAGAAAATTAGTTACTTGAGAGAATTTTAAAGGTAAGAGAAGTATTAACCAGTAAACCATCAAAACTGATATAAAAGTTAATACACCTAACCCTTAATGTACACAGCAATTAGTTCTGTATAAATTGAAAATTTGTAAATTAAGACTACATTTATACAGGAAATGGAGGGATAAATTCCAATTAATATATATTCTGTTAACAAATATAAAACTAATTATTATATATATATATATTTTTTAATTGCAAAAATTTTTAAAACTATAAAAATATAAATATATGATGTAAAATTAATGAAAATATACTTCTTTTCTTTATCTTAATTATTCATTAATAATGAAATAATTTTCCTCCTTTTTTTTTTAGCTGAAAATCTTACATCACCTCAATTACTAACTTCTTTGATTTCTTGAAACTGATTTATGAAAGTCAGGGATAATCTTGTCTCAATAATATTTGCTATAAAGCCTTGTTTATTATCTATATTTAATTTTTTTTTAATGTCTTTTCTGATACAGAACTATTGTGACTAACTCTATATATATTGCTATTTTACAATAGAGTATTCAGCATGTTCTATTCAGGACTATAAGTAGTTATATAAAATTCCAAACAATTACATAAAGTAAACTTTTGGTCAGTCCAATTTTCAAATTCCACTTTCTGAAGGTTATGATTTCACAGTTAGCTGTTAGTGGTTCCATATGACAGGTATATAGAACCCTAGACATAAACATGTTTAGCACATATGTGGTGTTGAGATAGTATAAAATGGAGAATTGCAATTCTTTTAAATGTATAAGTTAAAAATGGTGGCAACACAATTAAAATCTCAGAATAATTACCATATACCTAAACATTAGTTTTATCAATAAAAATACTCAAGAATATTTTGAAATATGATAAACTGAAGACCATAAACTGAAATTGTGCTATTTGAGTAACATATAAATTGAGATTATGCATATATTCATGTTAAACTTTAATAGTAATCCAAAGATTCAATCTAACTAAAGGTTTTTATTGTATTAAAAAATTACTAAAAGATTCTTGAAAAGTTGATCACAATTATTTCAATCATGCCATATAATTTTATATTACATTATAAAGTAAATGAGTAAAGAATTAGATTTAGCCTGTAAATATTACCTTGGATGAAAAATCACACATGATACATTATTGTAATGTCCTCTGCAAGTATCTACTTCCCAAGCTTTGGCCTCATTCATTCTCCAAAGTTTTATTTGTCTATCATCAGCTCCTGATACAATAAGTGATACTTTTGGATGAAATCCTGCCCAATTTACTCCTCGATCATGTCCTAAACAAAATAATTTAATAAATATTTATATATGAAAACTGTTTCTTAGAATATTTGCTAACTTAAATAACATAAATAACTTATAACTTAACATTAACATAAAGTACTCAGCAAATCACCAAATATATAAATAACACCTTATCTTTGCTGAGAAATATATTTATTTCAAAAACAAACGTTTTCAGCCTGATTTATAGGCCATCATCAGGTTGAGAACAAAACTGAAATTAATGGAATGCTTTAATTCCAATTTCGTTCTCAAGCTGATGATGGCCTGTAAATCAGGCTGAAAATGTTTGTTTTTGAAATAAATATTTCTCGGCAAAGATAAGGTGTTATTTATATATTTATAAATTAACTTTATTTTATATCGTAAAAAATTAACATTTCAAATATTTTTGCTTTGAAATTTCTTTCAAAAATGCTAATTATGAATTTATTGAATAACTGAAAAACAAATATTGAAATAAATGAAAAACATATCTTTGAAGAAAATTCTCACCTTCTAAAACATGCTTCACAATAGCATCAGATGTTCCAAATAAATCAGTGTGGCCAGGATTTTTTAAGTGCTCCTCCAATCCACCTGGACCAGGTGCTACATTTTTCTTTCTTAATCCTGATATATCCCATACTCTAACAGTTTGATCTAGAGATGCAGAAACTACCATATCTTCAGATGAATGAAACTGTGCGCACATGACATAGTGGTTATGCCCAGTGAGCACACAAATACATGTACGAGATTGCCAATTCCAAATGCGAATAGTTTGGTCATCTGATGCACTTAGGATCCAAGGATATTCGTGATGGAATGTTGTAGTACGAATGTAATCCAAATGACCAAGTAAAGTAAAAATACATCTACGTTGTTTATAATTCCAAACCTGTAAAAAGAGAATTTTAATTTGAAATTTGTATACATTTACAAATATACAAGCATTTCATATACAGGATGTATATGAAATGTAAATTAAAGTCTTTATACACTGACTTGTGAATGACACACAACATACAGTAATGGAAGCAATCCAAAGACCAAGAAAACAAGAAATAAACATTTTATAAACAAACACATGAGAAATGAATAAGGACATATGAATGAACACAGCACAAATACAATTACCAGTTTTCTGTTTTACTGTCTGTGTTCAATATGCACATTAGTATTTTACATTTTCTATTCATACTAGCAGACCCCGCCACGCGTTGTTGTGGCTCAAAATGTATCTATTATAAATTATAACACTTCACCCGTAGGGGGGGGAAATTTTCGAAAAATTTTTTCTTAGTGTTCATTCTCTTGACGTACCCTATTAAAACGCAATCAAAAACGCAAAAACCCGCATCTAAAATAGTATAAATAGAAGAAGAGTTTTTTACCCTAAGCCTTAATCCTAACCATCTCCCTTCAGTGGGGGAATTTCGACACGTATATTATATAAAAACACGTGCGTATTCGAATGCAACGTTGTGTCAAAATTTCAAAGGAATCGGTAGGAACAAACGAACATTACATTTTTATTTATATAGACAGATAGAAGATGATCTGCTTTAGTTCATTTTCGCAGAAAAGCATAATGCCTCACAGAAAAGCAAACTTCGGGCGTCGTACTCGTAGCGCCATCTGTTGGACATAAAAGCCGTAACCTAGATTATATCTTTTAATTTATATGAATGTTTATCGGAATAATATACAGCCTATGTCCACCCTGAGGTTCCATTCTAAATATTGGTGAAAGAATTTTTGAAATCGGATGAGTA